AAGGCGCTTGCGAGCCTCCTCGAGCTCATACTCGGCAATCGCTTTCTTCCTCTCAGCTTTAGAAGCTGCTTTCCATAGGAAGGGAGGGATTGTAGGTGGTTTTGAAGAACCCTTGTACTTCCTTGCCTTGTATCCCCCGGCATCATAAAAGGACGAATCAGCTTTGGGAATCAATGTCGTTTCACCCGTGACGGGATCCAAAACCTCGATCATTTCAGCCTCTTCACCCCCCGGTTCGACGGCAAGGTCTCCCGACCCGCGAGCGCCTACAGGCTCTTCATCAACAAGAGCTTCTGGAAGCTCGGGTGGATCATCGGGTTCATACTCATGTTCTACGGCATGTCTCAAAACCTCCTGATCAACGAGATCCTCAACACTTGCAGCTTTGACATCATCGATCGACGGCGGATGGCTTGAAATGGTAATGCCTGGGTACAACCCCTCTCTAATCATGTTGTACCTACCTTTACATGGAAAGTGTAAACCGATGTCTGGAACAGCAATCTGATGAACTCTCAGTGGTTGGATCTCGGCACTGAAGTCTGATTCCATAACATCCTTCAATGGGAGAACCATGAACTCCTTTCTCCACACAAAATTGGACTGAACGGCATATCCCAAGAATATCCCCGGGTTTGATGTTGGCTCGAACCTGAGAGAGGATTTGGCCTTGTTCTTGGGGCCGATCCAGTAATCAATCCTCAACCCAAAGGGAACCAAAGGGCCTTTGAACTTCTCACCGAATCGAAGCGACCAAGGCAAACTACCCTCCCGGGTGTCGACGATGTTGTTTGCCATGCATGCATGCCTGGCAGCGTGAGCCCAATATTGGTGGTGTAGACCAGCTTGCTCTAGGTTTACCCTTGTTCCATCGATGACAGACCGAATCGATCTTTCAGCCATAGCGTTAGTCTTAGAGACGTACGCAAAGCTGGTTTGATGCCTCCATCCTAGCCTTTCGGCAGTTGCGATGAGTTCTGGTGAGTTGTCGGAATAAAATACTCCTACATCATCAGTCGAACGGACAAAATGCGTGAAGGCTGCTATGCACTCACGTGTTGATCGACGTGCGGCCGGATAGACATATCTGAAATCTGTTGCTACATCTTTCACGACCAATGCGACGCGAGCCCCATCGATGTCCATTTCTTCATCGTCACGAATAACGAGATGGTCAGCAGTCAAATGTTGTCCGAAATGATCCGCCTCTACCTGGGTCGAACCACCCTTGCTATACGATGGACGTTTGGTCATCTTTGCCCTCGAGCAAGCTTGACAAAAGGGGTTCTTCGGGGTATGAGTCAACAGATGCTGAACTGATTGCGCTTCTTCCTTAAGAGCTTTCTCTCCCCTATCCCTCTTCGGGTCCAACGGTTTTTCCACCAACCTTGCATCCACTGGCTCGGGATCATCTTCAACAGGATCCTCGCCGATGGGGTTGTCCTCATCGTCCTGGACCTCAATTGCCTCTTCAGCCGGCGACGCGGGCAGAGGGATCATTGGTCGCAGTCCCCTCGACCGATCGTTCGTACCGTAAGGTTGACCTATGGCGGACATCGCAACACCAGTGGTTGATGGCAAGTATGGAACATAATCCTCTACTTCAAGTTTGACTTTGGTTCCATCTGGTTTCTTGAAGTATGGCCTACTGTAAGCGGGCCAATGGAAGCTCCATCCTGCGTCGATGCAGCGTTGTCCTACCGATACGACGGCTGGGCTATCTTCCAAGACGTACGGATTGATGTCAGCTCCCAACATGGGGACATTGACTCTGGCTTGGTCAGTGGCTTGAAAGACTCCGTTGGCAGTAAGAAGACTGACCGGTTTGGACGACTGAGACACTTCATCCGAATGTAGCATGTGCCTAGACACAAGATCGTGCGCGCTCCCAGTGTCAGCGATCCATGCAATCTCAGTGGCAGGCACTGTTGGACACGACCTCTTCTCAAAACACTTGATGCAACCTATATCGGAGTTGCACAGGTACGAACATTCCGCCGGCAAGGACAAAAGCTCGTTCCTAACAGCATTCTGAAGGTGTGAGGCTGCAATGGATGCGTCTTCAGTAGCGACACGAACTGCCTCAGCATGCTCCGGTCGACCTGGTGTAAAGGATCTTCGTTTCTTCTTACTTCGGGGTTGAACGGATCTCCAACTGGAAGAAGACTCAACAGCATGACTAAAAATGTTTGGTTGATCATCAAAACGAACTCTTTGCGTAACAAAACTGTCAATGTTTTCTGTGTTGTCAAAATCGGTGCACATAGTGTTTGATGCGGAAAGGACTGGCATGGCCACGCTTCCCAGCGGGCGAGTGATGAGGACGGAGGATCCCTGAGAGACCACTGCGGCCATGACCACCGCTCGAAGGAGGCATACCGCTGCCGGTGCATTGGAAGAAGAAGACTTCCCACCTTTTCTCCTCTGACTCTCAGAGCCAGTTGAGTTGTCGGAGCCTGATGATCCTCGTGAGCTGCTTCGCTTGCAAGGCTTCTTATCTTTCTTCTTCTTCTTCTTTTTGTCCTCTTTCTTCGCAGGGACAGTCTTTTCAGGGTGTTGGAATGCACAGTCTTTTCCTCGATGGCAATGCCCTGCCTTCCAAAACTTGCAAGTCTCCTTGCGAGATCCTGGCGTCAGTGATCTTGATCGAGATTGGCTGCGATCCTTACCCTTTCCCTTTCCTTTGCTTTTCTCGCGGCCTTTTTCGTGCTTGTAAGGACATGATGATCCGCGCTTGCATTTTCCGGTCTTTTGAAATTCGTAGCAGATGCCTTTCTTCTCTTCCGGAGCTGGCATGGTTGTGTCTTTGGACCCGAGCGAACGCTTCGTGGCGTCGCGCATCTTTTCCAACCTTCTTCGTTCGAGGTAGGCCCGGGCAGCAGTGATCAGGAAGTCGTACGTTCTTTCTTTGCTTCCATCGGCTGCACGGTCGTACAAGGCCAAATCATGCTCAAGTGGCTTGAAACGTTTCACGGCCAGGTGGAAATAGGCTTCCAGAACACTATTTTCTGGTTCCTTTTTCATTCCGGCAAGAACGCTATCCCATTTATTTATAAAGCCCTTGAGGTCATCGTTGACCATCTTGACGGACATGAGGTCTTCGAGTCCGTAGATTGCTCCATGCTTAATGCTTGTGGCAAAATACTCGTGGAACCGAAGGAGCAAATGCCTACCTTTCACGTTCTTGTCTTCACGAGCACGCAGCTCCTTGAATGTAGCAATCTGCCGACCAAGGTCCCCCTCAGCGCAATTGGTCAAGCTTGCAAGAAGCTTTGCGTCGAGGGTTGCGAATCCCTCTGAATCATCCAAGGCATCAATGGTTTGGGAATCTTTGTATACTTTCCCAACCCATGACCTCGCTTCATCCGGCTTCGCTGAAGCTGCAGCAATGTTGTCTCTCACCTTGATCTTCCAGTCTCTGTACTTCTCAGGTGTGGGGAACTTAGGAATGAGAATTTTATCAGCCTCTTTGGCTTTGCTCTCATGATCCTTGTCTTTCGACTTCCTTTGCTGCTTCTTCAGCTCCTTGCGGATGATGCGTGCAAGGCGCGATGATTCAGAACTTGAGTCATTGGAGTCATCACTCCCTCCTGACGAACTGGGTGACGAAGGTGATGGGGAAGGAGAGCGTTTCTTTCTGCGCTCCCTAGAGCGGCCCCTTTTTGGGCTTTTCTCTTTCTTCCTCTCTTTACCTTTCTTCTTCTTGTCTTTCTTTGACTTGTCACCACCCTCTTCATCAGCATCGGATGGATGAGGCTCTTCACCGCCTTTGATCCCGGGCTTCTCCAACTGAGTGCGAAGACTCGCCGGAGGCAAAGCTGGGGATGCCTGAGACCCAAGTTGCTGCATTGATGGTGCAGGCACTCGGCTCCCCGAGGCGTTGTCAAACCTCTCTCTCAACTCCTTGATTATTCGACTCTGTTCAGCTAACTCCGACCGAAGTGCATCCTCTCTTTGCTTGGCAGAGGCGCGTTCGTTCTCAACGACGGCGTGTCGTTCGAGCGAAAGGCGATCTAGATAAGCCCGTTGTTCATGAAGATGTTGATTTTGGTGGGCTTGGTTCATGTCACTCAATCGTTGATTGGCTAAAGCCTCAATGTGTTCCCTAGACTCCTGGACAGCCACTTTAGCTTGGTTCTCCACTAAGTCTCTAAAATGCCTTGCATCCTCTGCTACTTGTTGCCCATGCTCGGCCAAAATGGCCTGATGTCGCAGTTCCGCGATCTGAGCTACCTGAGCTGACCTATCCTCATTGACGAAGACGGCTTGTTGATGAATCTGTCTTGCATCAACGTTCTGGACATTCATCACAGGAGAAAACTCAGGTTGAAACGGCGACGGAGCTTGAACACTAGGCAACAGGTCCCCCTGTGCACTGAAAGTCGGTGGCCCAATTGGCACACGCAACTCCAGCGGAACGACAGGGAGCTCAGGAGCAGGTGAACTTGACATCGCAGGCGAAGTAGGAACATAGCCTGAACGTGAGCGGTCACCACGGGAACTATCACCATCAGCCATGGCCTCTAGATAGTGCACTACCTATGGGTGGGTGAGACCAGGGCTAGTACCAAGCACGTACCGCACTTATGGCGATACGGCTGATAACCTGTAGTTACAGGAAAACGACCTAGAAGCGCCACCTAGTCGCACCTTGTTTTCCTTGAGCCAAAGTCGTACGAGTGAGACGTAAATGTCATTATACTAGCGTGAAACTACAATTACGATTATGGCACAGTACTGATGTTCCTCTTCATCATGCATTATAGATGAATTGTGCTCGGCTCCTTTTCATGTTTTACTCACTTTTGATTTCTGGCTGCTCGCCAAGCTGCGCCTTTGAGCCTGGCCCGGTGCCTTTTTGAAGAAGAGCTTGCGCTGCTGTGCCGATCCTCCTGGATCTTCAAACATATTGCTTCTTCTTTCGTTGTTTCGTTTTGTTCAATCCACTATCGAGCAAATTCGCCTGACCAGAAGGACCAGAGAGGCTCAAGTCAACATCGCTACCTGACCTCACACTTGGTGACACAATCAATCCCGCAATGGAAAGAAAAGCGCGTCGAGCCTTGAAGTCAACTTTCTCGGATGGCCTTGAAGGCTGATCTTGGGTGAATGGGATTACACAATCTCAAAAACATTACAAAATCTTTAGGGGCTCCTGGCATCGCTACTAGGAGCAAGGACGCTACTAGGGGCTCCTCATCAACATGAGATGCGAAGGACTTGAGATGACTCGAGCCTGCATCTAAGTCGGGATGGTCCGGAACATCGTCTTCGCCGATGCCTGTCATCAACGCCGATGTTCTTCGATGCAGGCTGTTTATGTCATTGTCTTCGTGGCTTTGCTAGGGAAAACGCCGTCCACCAACTGCGACAGGTTTGTGGCATTTTGCCTCGGGGTGCGACTGCCCAACACCCGTCGATAAGATATCCGTTCTCCGCACAGCTGAAAAAGTCCAAGGGGCCGAATCAATTTCTTTGTTGGACGAATGGTCAGGGAAGTCTTTGACATCTGCCGCTTCCACGGTGCAACCAACATGGGCTCCTCCCTCGGCAAATGAACGCGTCAGCAGTCAGCAATTCTTATGAATTCCAGGGGTGAACTATTCTGGTCCTTTCTGACCTCGGTCAGAAAGCTGTTGAATGTTTATGTGTATATATATATATGTTTGCCGTGCTCCTGTTTTGGGCAAAGCAACAAGTGTGCAACCTCCGCTAGGTCCTAGCCTTGCAGCAAGGAGTCGGTTCTTCATTCTCTTCGTTCTCTTCATTGTTCTCCTCATCCTCTTCCTCGCCACCTTCCGTCACATTGATCACTGGTATTGGAGAGAGCTCTTCGCCTAACTCCTTGCAAGCAGCTGCAAGTATACAAAATGCACGACGTGCGACGATTCCGGCGACGAAGGCTTGGTGTTCATACCAAACCATGGTCCTTCACCAAAGACACTCGATGTTCCACTGGACCTTGCAACCGCAACACAGAACCTTCAATCTTAAATACGAGGCCCGTGACATCAACACACTCTCAACCCATGTTATCCTGCCTTGCTGAGGGGATGCTGCTTGCACCTGCAGTGAGAAGAGCAAAAGCCTTGATGCATCTTTAAGGATCTGCTCAAACATGGGTGAAGGACTGTGAAGACTTCAACAGATTCCGCACCTCTGGTAATTTTGGCAAAGTCGGAGCACTGCTGCCTAAGTAGCGTGGTATCTTGAACAACTGCCGATGGTGTGGTGTTCTTCCAAGTGTAGCGGCGTAGCCCATTGGTATTCGCTATAAGACCAGCCCGTCTACCGAAGAAGACTTGGGCCTTGTTTTAAATCACGAGCAACATGTTCCTGCATTTTCCTTCCACCTGCACATGTAGGGCACTCATGCGCCAAGAAGCGATTGTTGTCAGTCTCCTCTGATTGGCTGGCTTTAAAATGCAGTGAGCCTCTTGCTCATCCCGGCTATTGTTCACACGAACACATCACGCCCATCTAAATACAGCAACTTGATCCACAAACTATGGCCAAATCTAACATGCCTGAGCTCAAGCTCCTGCTTTGCGCTTTCAAACGTGCTCTTTCTCTTCGGTCTACCATCTTGGCGATGCCTTAATTACTACCCAGCGTTGTTTGAAACGTGCCACACTCATGCAACTCAGCTCTCTCAGGTCTCAACTGCTCCAGGAGTAGCAAAACTGGGACCAATGTGAGGTCTCAAGTTGAAATGTAATGCATGAGCTAGGTGAGGCCTGCTGAGTGAGACCCAGCTTCCCGCGCGAAGGTCCTGATGCCCCAGGCAAGTCAGCTCAAAAGCATCCTTGGACATGTTTTTGGCAAACTCCTGCCACGGCATGTCGCGCACCACCGCTTTTTGTGCCCTGCCCTTCACCTGCAATGGAAGCAAGTGTCAGGCTTCCTCAAAAACAAAAGCAGTAGTTGCAAAGCACACTTGACTTGACGCGGTGCTGCTGGCATTTGCTATCAAACATGCTTGAGAGGGGGGTTGGACGAAAGGCACAAGATAGGTAGGTGGGTGGGTAGGTCGGTGGGTAGGCAGGCAAACAGGCAGGTAAGGATAAGGAAGGAAGGATTCTGTGGAAGGATGTGTATAAGTTTAAGTGGTGGCGTCAGGATGCGGCCGCAAATCCACATTAGAATCTCTGCAGCAAATAACTGCATACATTGCAATGTCGCTTCTCAGATCAAACATTCGGGGTCACAATGAACGCTCCCGAAAAATCATAAAACATCTCCTGTATCGTTGTATGATATCTGATGAGTTTGCCAGACCTACTAGGGCAATGAAGTTGCTAGTGCAGCTTCGCCTTCCACTCCATAGCACCAATCCAACATCATGAAGAATCGTGGCCTGGTGGCCCTTAGATCTATTCTAACGGGCTCTGAATTCTATTTGCCCTTCGATCACCTGTACGTTCATTGTCCAGCAGCCGGACTGGAAGAGGTGGTAGGTAAGTGGATGCCCCGACGACCATCACCTCACAAGAATATCAGGAGCAGCAACTTTCCTATAAAGAAAGAACACCATAACAAAAAGCACTCTTGTCATTGAAGATTCAAGTGCAGGACTGAGATTGCCCATGCGTGGAAGCCCAACGGCGAAGTTTGGGTTCCCAAACCGTCTTGGGCCAAGCTGCACGCGCAGGTTGCAGGTATAGGGTTTCTCCTAACATTGAAAAGGAACCCGCATAGTAGAGGATTGGGATACTTTTGTAGCCTTCAGGAACAGCACACAGTAAAAGCCCCCAGTTTTGCAAAGCTTTGCCACCTTCGAAACGCTCTTCGCTTTACAAGTTTCAGAAGGACTGCCACCATGTTGGGGCGTAGGAGGCTTTGCTCGTCAGGGTCTTGATCAGGTGCTGTAGTGAATTACTCTATGCAAGCAAACACATACAGTATATATATAATACATATCATATATATATGTATATATGTATACTACATGCACTAACCAAACACCCACATCCTTGGTGAAGGACCAGTCTGGAACGTCCCGGTATTGAATATCTTTGTACCTGTCAGGTGCCTAGCATGCGCGGCTTGCTACAAATTCCGGCGGAATGGGCCACAGCGACACAAGACTGAGCCTCCTGGGTTTCCATCGATTTCATGAACTGAATTCTGTGGTTCTGTGGCCAATTTCCTGTGCATAAAAAGCAGCGAGCGCCTGACATGGTGTCCATGTCTCCATGCATCGACTCATGTTGTCAAGAGTCGCTGGGGTATTCCATGCCAGGCGCCGCACACAAAATCTGCGAACCTCACTCCTCCCGCTGGCGCTTGAGGTCTCACTACCCTTGAGACAAGGACTCCCAAGTGTCATGAGCATCGTTTTGTTCCTTGACAAATTTACGTCTCGGTGTGTGACTCAACTAGCGCGGCCACCACCCTCAATCTTGTCCACGGCCAGCAAGCTGCACAGGATAATAAGAAGCGTTTCAGTGCATGTTCAAAAGTGGTTGGATTATGGTCAGCATCAGCACGCAGCTGCCAACATCGACAGGATATGAGGTACCAAACTGTCAACTGAAGAGATCTTCATTGTTCACGGAGCACACCATGGTCAATTTGCAACCTCCCAATTAAAGCCGAGCTGATTGCCCGAAAAGCAATACCCTTTGCCTGCATAGGACCAATCCGGCATCAGTACGAGGAGCCACGCGCACCTCCAAAAAAGCAATCTGATGTGTGCTTTCAATTGAGGCAACAATCATTGCGTGACCGCACCTTATCAACTGTTTCTTGTTGACGGATCGAGGTGCCAGTAGATCAGCATAGATCAGCCAATGACAGCACAAGTTGAATTCATTTGACATCAAGGAATTGTTGGGCTCCTCCTGCTAGGAGTCACTCGGCTGGGAATGCCACAGCCACTCTCATGTCGGATCTCTTGAAGCTAAACTCCATGTTGGATCATCGACCAAAAAGGTGTTTGTGAAATGGTGAAGCCCCTGAAACCGTTGCTCTTGGTTGAGAAGCAGGGTCCGCTCATATCAGAAGGTAAAGAGGAAAGAAACCTCGACTGACCTGCTGGCTCGGATGATAGCTCGCCTGGTAGTGCTCGCCGCCGTCCAGCCTCTCACTCACTGCCACCAACTGCCCTGACCTGGGATGCAAACGCGGCAGCATCCGATGGGATTATATGAGGGTTAAAAAAAATAACAAGGGCCCAATACACTGATCACTTGGCACATAAGGACCCCACCCACTGATCACTTTGACAGCCTTTTCTTTGAAGTTCCCTCAAGAAGCAAACAGACTTGACTCGACTCGAACTAAATCCTGTGGGTTGCCTTTCGACTCGAAACACCGCCACCCTCAAGGCCTTCCAACTTCAAGAGCATTTCATTGTTGTTGTCTCGTAAGACGTATTCTTGACCTTTCAGGCAGTCTGGGCGGAAGGCGGACCATTGCAAGCCAAGCATATTCGAACTTTTGAGTGCTGGGCCACGTCTCTCCATGGTGCAGAACACCTGACAGGAACGTGTTACATGTTTCGATATGTTTCAGCATTCGCGAGTCTGATCCTCAAGCCGCCCCCAACCTCTCCCGAAGCTAGGCAGATCTGAGGCAAGCTGGTGGGCCATCCATGCAGCATGTCAGTGCCTCATCACACGAATCTTCAACTCTTCCTGCTGGCAATACCACGAAATGTCACGCGCAAGCACTGACCGATCTGATCCTCAAGGTCAAACATCCTTTATAAAGCTTAAGTTTTCATGAAACAACTGATTCCATGATTTTGGTCTTGCATGTTGTTGCTGCTGACTGACGAGTATACATCAGAGCTCGGCGTATGGAGGCAAGTGGTTCTTGATCAAGCATCTGTAAGAAAATTCCACATTGCGGCCTCAGATTCCAACGTAGGGGCTTCTGTAACTGCAATGAGGATCAATGAGGCACTGAGGGTTCAAGCCCCAATCCGGATTCGTTGACGATGATGTGACCTGATTGTCTACCCGAGTCACGAGTCTACTCCAAGTATTCTGTCAAGAGCTTTCTATCATTTTCTATCTCTTTCTCTCAGTGTCGAGCTCAAAGGGGATCCTTCAAGGTCGACAACGCTGAAAGAGAGCCTTGCTTCGTCAGGGTTGGTCAAATTGGTCTTCAGTCTCGGTCAACATCTCTTGGGTGTCAGCTCTTGTCTGAGAACTGTCAAGACCTGCCAGGGTGCGGGGCAATAGGCATCTACGGTATCAACACTCTAGAATTCTCTATACAAAAGGTATGTAATTCATGTAATGCTCCTGATGGCCTATCTCTTGTCCCACAAATGTTGTCCCCGCCTCCCTGACAGCAAAAAACAAATTCCATACCGTCAGGAACCACCTGCGCTGGAAATACAATGAAACACATGAGCAAAGGAAATGCCAGGGGAATCTTTTGACACAAATTTTGTCTTGTACTCAAATAGGACCCCTACCAAGCAGGGGCAAAGAGTATCCTCGTCCTCATCTGCAGATCTCGGGGACCAGTTGAACATTCCACCTTCTTCTCCTGCGGCCAGGGTTAGCTTTATGGATATCTATTTGTATCAGCACATATCAGCATTGACTCTGCTGAAACAGGTTGCAGTCCACTCCGATCCACTGCCCAACAACAAATTTTGCGGGTCAACATCTCGTCTGTCAGGACAAAGCCCGAGCATATAACATATGTTTTAAAACAAAAACTCATCGCATCTTGTCCACCTTGCCTCCTACGTGTGTAGGCTTACGAGGTGACGGCAATGAGGTGGCTGAGGCCGCGGGTACGGATACAGAGCCTTGAGCAAACATCCCCCACCAAGCCTGGCTGGCTCCAACCCTCCTACGGCCTTCCTCCTGTCAGTGCAAGTAAACGAAGTTTCTCTTGTAACTTGTATCTTCTGAGGATTCTGCTGCATGGATGCCGGCTGCCAATATCTGACCTGTGCAGGAAGGCTCTCAGCAGCTTGAACTTTTGCGGTGCTCTGCATCCACCCCAACAGCTCAGCGAATCGAATCAGTCGAAGCCACTGGGCTCCCAAGCGGACGGGCACATGTTCGGACACCTGATCTGCTGGACTTATCTAGAGTGCTTTTTATCCTCACGTCTTCATGTTTGAGGCTTTTCATCAGTGTTCATCAAAGGGCACAAAATGCAACCATGGCAAACATCTGGCAACGGCTTTACGACGAGCCCGCTCATGCGAGGCCCTGGCCCGCACGGGCATGCACGGCTGATAGCCTGCGACCCTGCAAACAGGAACATTGTTGGTGCTTGTGGCAGGGGACATGTGCATTTTCTCAGACGATCGCCCGTCTCATCCCACACTTGTCTGGTGACTTGACTGTACAAGGCTCGGATGCAAAACAAGATTCGTACATGCATGAGACTCTTGACACTCATGGGTCGTACCAAAACCCGTGTCCTCTGCAAGCGCGGCAGCACCAGCTGCAGGAGCCTTGGTGCGAATGGATTTTGGACTGGTGACTGGACTATTCGCGTCTATCCATGCGAGAACATCTCGAACCAGGTCCTTGAGAGAGGATTCTGTTCAAACAGCTCAGGCACATTCCTCTCTCAAGTCTTTTGCTGGCCGAAATTATGGGGCCCAAGCAGGGCAGCGAGCCACTGGTCTCTTTCCATCACGCTTGTCCGACCTTGAAGGATGTGACATAGGCAGCCGTCTTTCCCAGCCAGAACGGCTGTGCAACTCCCTGATGATATGAGTTGTTACGGCTTAGTTCTGCATAGAAACTCATACTCAGCCACAAAGGGGGGCACGGAGTGGTGGTGAAGGCCTCGGCAAACAAGCAATAAGCAGAAGGCCGAAGCTCGTAGGCTGCAACAGCCCCATCAAGCACAGCAAATGATGTTCTTCAAAACTGGAGGTGTTTATGGGTAACCCAACCAACTAAAGTGTACATACATACATACATACAGACAGACAGACAGACAGACAAACAAACATAAACACATACACACATACATACATACATACATGGACCAGGGCAGTTCTTGGGTGATGACAAACTTGTCATGGTGAGCCACATTAACAGGGCAGTCACGATTGAAGGAACCATCACCAAACACAAAAGGGCCCTCAATCCTCATGGACCATATACAGTTCCAAGGTCACTCGACGGTTTCTCCAGGGCCAGCTCTGAGTACCTACCGATAGCCCACATTTGCCACAGAGGCCCCACACATGACACAGGGCATTATTTCGCGACCCTTGTCTACAAAGACCTCATGTGGATTGCCGATGATGGAGGCACACCAAAAGTCCTTCACTTTCTGACCCCACAACTTGCTGGGCAAATCGTGCAAGTTTGGGGCATCCAGGCATCAGCACTGGTGACACCACGACAAATAGCCCGGGCACTCCCAGAGCCGGAAACTCCGGACTACGATCCACCGCTTCACGGCACACCGCCCAAAAGGCCAAGTTTACACAAGAGTCAATGCGCATCCATGTGGCCAATATCACCTCCTTTGGGAAGCACACACTGGAGTGGCTATGGAGTCGAGATAATGAACTCCATGTCTTGGTTGAGACACACCTGGACTGCCAAAAACATCACTCCATGTGCCAGTATTTTGAAGTCCGGGGCCGACATGCTTTTGGTTTCCCGAGATCCATTCTTGTGGTGGCTGTCTACTTCAAGACCAATGAAACCATCCAGGGCCACACGAACTCCCCACTGTTAGCCCGCATCCTGGCGCTACTGCAGGCCTCCAACAGACAGTTCATGCTGGTTGGAGATTGGAACAAGGCCGCGTTTTTTTTAAATGATTTTTTCTGTTTTTTTTGGATTTTTTTTCTGGTCCTGTTGTGGGCGCCTTCCCTCAGGCTCGTGTCTCCAAAATGATAGTTGTTTCTCCGCAAGCTGGCCACCTGCAAGTGCTCACCTTCTTTCCTTCCTTCCTTTCTTGCTGCCTTCTTTCCTTCCCTTCCCTTCCTTCCTTCCTTCCTTCCCTCCTTCCTTTCTTCCTTCCTGCATCACATAAGCAAAGCAAGGATAGCGAACAGCCACAAAAGCAAAAAGCAACAAAAGCCAACAGAAGCCTTCGAAAGTCAACACAAGTCACCAAAAGCCAACAGAAGCCAGCAAAAACCAACAGAAGCGAGCAACAGCTACCAGAAGCCACTAAAAGCCACCAGAAGCCAACAAAAGCCACCAGAAGCCACCAAAATCCCACAGAGGCCAACAAAAGCCACCAAAAGCGAGTAAAAGCCACCAGAAGCCAGCAAAAGCCGCCAGAAGCTAGCAAAAGCTACCAGAAGCCACCAGAAGCCAACAAAAGCCAGCAAAAGCCAACAGAAGCTAGCGAAAGCTACCAGAAGCCACCAAAAGCCACCAGAGGCCAACAAAATAGCCACCAGAAGCCAACAAAATAGCCACCAGAAGCCACCAAAAGCCACCAAAAGCTACCAGAAGCCACCAGAAGCCACCAAAATCCAACAGAAGCCAACAAAAGCCAACAAAAGCCAGTAAAAGCCACCGGAAGCCAGCAAAAGCCAACAGAAGCTAGCAAAAGCTACCAGAAGCCACCAGAAGCCAACAGAGATACCTAATGCCTAAACGTGAAAAAAATCCCAAAAAAAACGAAAAAAATCCTAGAAAAATATGAGTTCCTTGGAACAACCATCCGGAACAATTCCAAGGCATATTTCTGAGCTCCAAGTTTCATTGGCAAATCCTGGCTCCAGACGCAACCACGCTGAATGGCAACACTGTCGATTATGCCATCCTCCATCAAAACCTTGCAGCACACACCTCCATGACCACCGAGTGGGCAGTGCCATGGCGACCACACTGCTTAGTGACTTATGCACTAGAGTTGGATGAGGATTTCAAGCACTACAACCAGCTCCGGACCTTTCCAACCTTGCCCAAAGTGCCGGACATTGGATTCCGACCGTGGAGCACCTATCAGGTTGAGGACCTCACACTCTACGAGATGCCGTCCCAAACCAAGCGGCGCGAGAGCCTGGCAGACTGGATCTCCATCACTGAACAATACTTGCTCCAACAGCATCCATGGGCAGCACAAGGGCGAGCGTCCAATCTCATCGCTCAATACCAACACTTGGTTCCAGCCAAAGCAGGAGCAATGTGGAAAAAAGGCAGACCAGCCTATTGGGAGCAGTTGCAGGCCAGGCTGAACATCATCCAAAATCAGCCCACCCATGCCAAAGGTGCCATGAAAGGCTTTGCCAAAGCCTCAACAACGTGCAGCAGCACTGGACCGGAGAACCAACATGGCCTCAATTCCTCGACACCAGCCACCATTGGCAACAACATCGTGATCAGCGCACCCTGGAGCTGATGCAACACACCATTCGGCATCAACTTGAAGCAGCGCAAGAACAAAGCAGAGATGAGGCCCATCTCCAATACGCTTGCTGAGTGGCTCAGGCAGGGAGAATCCAGAGGCTTGAAAGGACCCTTCAGGTCACTGAAAGCCAGCTCTCCTGGCAACGGCCCTATCGTGACATTCCCGTAGCGGACAGAATGAGACATAGACCCAGGGCCTGGCACACACATTGGAAACCCACAAAAATACAACCAGGTCATGCCCAGACTGTCTGTCCTGGAACCGGCTTGGCACAAGCAGCCCAGCTCCCGCCTTTGACCATAGGCGCCAAGACCCTGAAGCAGATCGAGCCTGTCGCCGATGCCATCACTCTTGCGTACGGCACCCGCACAAGCTCTTCCACCATTGTTGAAGCTTCTCCAAACCATGGAAGCCACGGCGGAACTCCCTACTCAGCTCAGCTCCAGATGAGCCTAGTTGTCATGCTGGCAAGAATGAGAAGGTGGAGCGGCCCATCACCCTCACCAGTGTGCTCTACCGCACATGGTGCCGCATGAGGAAAGATAGCACTTGAAAGGCTGCTGAGACAAGAAAGCAACAAAACACTGGGCGCTGCAACCGTGGCAAGGCTTGTCGGGGACATTAGACGCCACTCCAACATCATACGACAAGCGAGCACAAGCCTGGGTGTTTGCCCTGTGCATCAGTGCATCCACACCTTCTCCCGTGGCACCCTACTCAGAAAGGGCACCATCACCGGCACGCCACCAGGGCCACAAACCAAAGCAAGAGCGCCGTTCCAAGGGCTCCTCACGTTGGCACAATCTGTCCTGACACCAGTCAACGTGATTGTCCAGCTTGAGTCGGTGTGGGAGGCCTGGACCAACCCCCGCAAACGCAAGGGCTTCACCGACCTACAAGGGTTTCCACGGGAGCTTTTTGCCCGCATCACACCTCTGTATACCCACAAGAATCAGAGGAGCCCAGATGCACCAGGCAGCGAGCCCCACCTCCGCCAGCGCCAGAGGGATGCGGCACCATCTATGACCCTAACGCTGAAGCATGGCAGCGGACGCTTGACCAAGACCACTACGAGGCGTACAAACATGCTGCAGCCGGCTTGAGAAGATCTACAAAGACCCACAGCACTACCTGCATGAGAAGCTGGTGCGGAGGGCTCACCACACCACAAAGCAGTATAAGAAGAGGTTGATCGAGCAGTGTCAACAGCCATGGATCACTGGCAAACATCAATGGGAGCCCCACCGCAGTGGGTACCAGTGTCACACGTGCCAAATCTGGGTTCACCAAGGGCTGAGGTTGAGACCATCGAACAAAGGCTCCAGCAACAATGCGAGCTTTTGACCAATGATGCACCCGAACCGGACATGCCGGCCCAAAAACCTGTCGGCAAGAAAGCTACCAGAGCCAGCATCATTGCTGACCTCCTAGATGAGCACGCCTTCCATTAAACAGCTGGATACCTCAAGTG